TTGCGTCCGATAATTGGCTTCGCTGACGTTCGTCCATGTAGAGGTAGGTGCATCATGCAACATGCTAACCACTTTACACCTACTTCTATCAATTGGAACAACTGGGCTATCCTTCACAGGGAATCAGTGTCCAAATTGAAGTGCATGTACTGATCCAGTGTGCATGATGGATGTCTCAGAAACTCAGTAGGGAAGCAATTTGGCTATGTTGTAAGCTCGCATTATGCGTGTTTCACTACACCGTTCAACTGTATAGAGGCGTTGTAGTGTGAGCTTATTTGTTACACGCCACCCGCATTTTGTGGTCATCTTCTAATGACAAATGTTCATCTCGATGATCCTATAGAACTGGATAGTTAAATGACTTAAAAACATGTTATTAGTAATGGTGAAGAAGTGCGACAAAATAAAACAAGTTGCACTGGATGAGAATATCTGTAGATCAGGATGTGGGTCTGGATATTACACCTATGTCCGAGCGGAATGACTAACTTGCATACGTTTCGTTGCCAGATTAGGCAAGATTTCAGTGCGTTTTTAAAGCGCTTCTTCGCAGGGTCTCGTAAGCGAATTCTAGATCTAAGTGTCTAGCAGTCGAGTTTCGCTTTGAATATGAAGCCTCAATAAACTCACGTGCTTACCGGTGTGTGGCTCTTCCTAGGATTTCATCGTGTTCCAGGTCGAATTGGTGGTTTTCGGCATCCATATGCAAAGACACCAAGAGTGCTGATCATGAAAGCAGACTGCCAAACTGTGTTGATGCAGCTGTGTGTCAAGCTTACTTTCTCTTTGTCCTACGTAGTATTTGCCAAAATTTAGACAGCAGATTTTGTAGATTACTGCAGATGTTTCTACTTGCTACGTCGATCTTTCACTTTGAAGAGTTTACTTCGAATTGTTTAAGTTGGTTATTAGGCATCTTTGACTCCAAATGACAACAAAGATCTCGCTACCATTTCCGATATTCCGTTGAAGCAAGGCAACGTTGCTCGCTTTTTAACTACTGCATTGGGTGTGGTGTGTTGTGTTGAATTATGTTGGGTCAAGCAGCGCAGAATGGAGCCTTTGGGGTACGAACTCCACTTGAACAGGCTGTAGAGATAGTCTTCTTCCGTCTGCATCAGCTGCTGCGTGCCACAATGTGTCCGTGCTAGTTTGAAAATAGTTAGCACGCAGCTGGGCTTGTGAACTGCCGGGTGATTACTATTTTAGTTGAGGAGCTGGACCGTATGGGTTTGTTTCCGATAGACTGTCATTTCCAGTTGTCCTGAATCAGCCCTACGCATAAGAACGTCTAAAAAACTGGTGGCTAATCATCGTTCTGCTCGACACTGGTTAATTAGATGCCTTCGAAACCACTGGTAAATAGCTCACATCCCCCCCTTTAATTTGGAATGCTTGTGTATACCAAATGCGTCATCAACGTAGCGTATGCAAAAGTTCGGTTTTGCCATTGAAAGTGCTATCCGTATCAGCGTCTGCCCGATATACAACTCTACTGGAGTGGATAACACACACCCTAAAACATTGTAGGTAGCAGCCATGCATCTAGCCGGACCACTAGTTAGATTCTTTCATCTCTGTCTAGACGAAAAAGTAGTTCCTTCAAAGCGGAAATGGGTTAGTATAACCTCATTCACAAAGGAGAAGGCCGATTTGATCCTGCCAAGTAGCTCCCGGTAACACTTGTCCCTGTGTTCGCCAAGCTCATGGAAGCGATCATCGCAGACGTACTGATAAACTATAGGGCAAATTATGGCATCAATGCGCCAGAGTAGCACGGGTTTCGTCAGCATAAATCATGTGCCACAAATCCACTAACAGTCCGGGGAAACTGGACGGCAACAGTCGGCGAGGTACCGGAACCGACTTTATCTACATGGACTTTTCAAAAGCCTTCAATTACTTGGACCATGGAATTCTGCTTCACAAGCTTCAACGCTACGGTATCGGAAATACATTATTAGGTTGGATGAACAACTCCCTCCGCAAACGGCGATTAAAGATTAGAGTCCGAACAACTGGGTCTGACGGCATTCGAGAGGAGTGCAGCAAAACGCAGGGTCTGATATTCGGACCTCGCCTGCTGTTAGTGTTTATTAACGATCTAGCGAGTCAGCACACCAAAATTTTTACTTTTCTTTAAAGACGTCTAGGTTTGGCGGGTGATCGAGGAATGTACGACCAGGAGATCCTTTAACGCCACCTACATGATGGCTAACATTGTTTGGTGAGGAAAGCGTTGTTATTCAATGTGTAAAAGTGTCGCGTTGTCCAAATCCGCCATCGACACACTTACATCTACAAGCATGGGGCACACGATCTGCAGAAAATCTCTCAAGAACGTTACGTCGGAGGGCCGGTACAGGACGACCTCGGTTATTCCAGGTAATCAAAGTCCACATCAAAAAATTAAACAGCATGATGTTTTGCGGAAGGCATTCAAGAGTTTGGACTTATCCAGCTGCTCTCTGATGCTCAAGACCTAGTTACGTCCTCAAATCGAATACGCAAGCCAGGCTTAACAGCCTTGGCTAAAGAGTGACTTTGGAGCGCACAAAACTTCCCACCGTCGAGCAACGAAAAATAGGAATGGTTTGTGCCGTCTTTCGTATCAGCAGCGCAAGATAATCGGGGTGTTCATTGGTCGCTACCGCCAACTAGATTTAACAAATACCGAGTGCCTCCAATCACATATGCCGCCACATTGTAAAACTCGGCCCGAACAACAACCTCGGAAGCAATAATCTGAAAATCAGGCAACGATACAGTTGTCCAGATTGTCGACGAACTTATTTCTCCCTGCGGGTCAGCCAGGCCGGGATCGCCTTTCCAATCTCAGTTGTTTGTGCCCCTACCCTAACTCTTTTCAAAAACCACTTGGAGGTTGAATTGAACACCTTATATTTTGTTACATGAAAAGATACTCTGGATAGATTCAGGTTAATTTTCCTTTGCAAAATTATGACCAACATGGACATATATATATATATATCGGGAGAGGGAGAGAGAGACAGAGTGGTGAGCAATCTGCTTGTTTTCGCTATTAACATTAACCATAACAACATGTTGCTTCGTTTTGACTGGTACTATCTCACTCATACAATTTCTTCTACGTGCCAGTATGCTAACGCTTCAGCGATGCCTATTTTATTTGGTTCACTTATATAGTATCCGAATGTCAATTACTTTTATTACAAGCTTACAGGACACGTTAAGCCTATGCATGTTCACCCACCATGAAACATTGCTCCGTGGTTCTATTGTTCCAGTATCCATGCGGTTGTCGGATTTCCGGAGTTGTGATACGTTCTTCTAAGACGTATGGCTACGGCGAAATATCGCCTCACTCGAACGGCGGATTGAAGTCTTTTGGTTGGTTTTATAGACGTATTGGTGAAAACGGTTGAATGTCCTTGCTATGCTCTTCTCCTTTAAGCATACATTCGCTTGTTAGCAATGGAACCCATTGAGTACGAAACTTGCAGTAACCATTTCGTTGCTGGCTTTGCTTACGAATGAGAGTTGGAATCAATAACATTCACCGTCATGAACTAGAGTTGGGGCTTAGCGCTAGTGTACTATCACTTTAAGCTCTAAGCGAAGCCGCTGTGTAGGACACCTGCACTGTGCCATTGCCGGAAACACAGTTAGCAGGTGAGTTGGGGCGTGAACGAACAAACGGGGTGCGAACCTGAATTGTTCGGTCAATCACTGCACCGAATCTTTACAAAGGCGCGCCGCCAGCTCAACCCCATTGATTCTACATCAGGTTGTCTCTGTTCTTTGCCATTTCCATTACAATAAGAGGGAGAAAATAATACACAGCGCGCTTACACAACTAAGATATTCTAGACTAGTATTTACACCGAGTACAACCAAGGTACCGATTTTAATCTAATGAATAAAATGGAAAACGAAAGACATCAGCATTATGCCTGCACGACCTACGACCTTTCACCGCCACGCGAGTGTAATCAGTCGCGCGTGGACCGTGCATGCTGTGAGGTAATCTGCATCTACGCAGAAGCGAACCGATGAGCTTTGGATCACAACGCAGGTCTTCCTTGCTTTCGGCTTCAACGGACAGAAAAGCCTAGTAAACAAGACGCTAGCAAAGTGAAATAATGGTTATGCCATTTGTGAACATTTAATTTTATTTCAGTTAAGAGTAAGCGAGATACCTAAACTCTATCAAACGGAGTGCGACACGATCGTAAATGTGCGCCGATAGGTAACCTTATCAAATACAGCAGCTTGACATAACTATTACTAAAAACTTGAGGATCCTGACTTAACGGCACGCTGTTCGATCGCAATTCGGCTTCCTCCAGTTCTTTTGACTACCTGCTTACATTAGGTACGCTCCCAGTGGCATAAGTCGATTCGATAGGATAGCTTGTTAAAATGAGTCAGTCTCATGAGCACAGAAACGTATTCATGATCGTGTACAGCCGGTTTACCTACAAGTTGCTAAATATCCGACTTTGAATATGTCGTACAATCCGAAAACAATGGGCGTACAAAAGGTAATGGTAAATCACTAGACCAATTATAGTGTAGCTGATGTAACATCATGCCCATATGCCTGCATAAAAAGGAAAGCGAACAGGCGTGAACTGGTATTTTGCCGTCGGAAATACTTCAATTTCTCCATTTTATGATGTGCCAAAGGAGTGCTAATGTCCGTGCAATATTTTTGCTACCAGCTACCTCAGCACGCGATTCGGAAACAGTTCTCGAAAATCCAAGTGCTTTCTTCCTTATAACGCTTGGGTTTCGGTGCTGTATGCGGCAAAATCATAGAAAAGGGAACTTATAACCGACGATAGAGCTTAGAAGCGCTATGCTTCACTCAACCTCCTTTAAGTTAGTACAAATATAAGCCACACTTAACTAATACTGAGTAATAAAATAATCTGCACACAGAAACATTCCATGAACTTTCACTAACATTCAAGTAGTTTCCCATAATAAACTTTGTAGTATTCATGACAAACCTTCAAATCCAGATGAGCTATTCCACAGGAATGCATGTGTTGAACTCCAAGAAGAATTTGCTCCACAAAGTTGGATGCCTCTTCTTCGGAAAGCTTTTCACATTCTGCCACCCTGGCGAAAAGCTCACCACCAGTGACGCTGTGCAAAATTAAATAGTGAAACAGCAGTTAGCCAAAAAATCTAACGTATTTTAAATTCACGAAAAAAGCAATAATGATAGAAGCCATCTTGAGCTCGTCTTCATTTACACCGTACCAGGTAGCTGGTGTTGACTTCTCCTGTCTTGTTAGCTACTATTTCCATGTTGCAGTTTGCATCTTCATTCATTAGATACAGTCAGTGCTCTTTCCAAAACTGTATCAGGGTGTCTTGTCTGCATGATTCGGTAGCAACACTGGTTTACCTAAGGCGGCATGGTTAACAGTTAGTACCACCATATTTACATACGCGACGTGGTCGTCCCTTCAGGGTAGCAGTTTTCTGAAGCAATTGCAAATCTACTTATTTTTAGAGAAAGTGTTGTGTTGCGTTCTACCCCTGGTCCATACCATCCTAGCCTTTATAAACGTCTGACAAACCATCGATGAACCTTAAAAATGGTGTAGATCAAAGCACTGAGGATGCAAAGTCATTAAAAAAGGCAGTGTTGATATAATGTTCAGTGATAGAGTGGGTGGTCACTTCATTACAGTTATCTCAGTCTAGAAAATATGTGTCATTTATTAATTGTTAGCGGCTCTCTCGGCCAGCACTACCTATCGCCCAGGTTCACCTACTTTAGTAGTGACCTTTTCTCATCGTTTACAATCTTTAAAGATCGGGTTACTGCTCATAGCAAAATATTTGTGCACCACCCATTCCTCATGGAAATCTTATGCTTCAAACAGATGTTTTACTTAACTTTGCAGCTCCATTAACTGACCACGGGGAAATGGTTATGAGCATAGCTAGGTAATCGCAATTTGACAGTGATTTGCTAATCTCAGCGAATTCGCCTAATTTTTGGTGAATTACGCGTACCGATGGACCAGTGCATTTCCTTGGAAATTTTGTCTCTATGTTCAGTTTACTTTCGGACGCACAGTCACATCTTTCCTACACAGGATTCCACCCCAAAGAGCACGGTGATGGATTCTCACATCCAGCCAGCGTGTAGTTCCACTCGTATCATTTGCAACTGCAATTTCTTTGACACAGCCTACTATGGTCCTGCTCATACTAACTATGTATATGACTTCTTACGCATACTCACCCTACATAGTGTCAAGTTACCTGACGTAACTTTATTTGGATAGCTTTAATAGGATAGCACACCTTTAGCCTACTGGTCAAGTCTCATAGTGCTGAAAAAGACGGCTTTTTATAGATCCATAACCAAATCAGTAATCGTTCAGCAGCTGATAGGTAAAGGTACATGGAAGTCTATCTCATCTAAAGCTTGACGCATCGCGGCCTCTGTGCGTTAGGGTAGAAAGAAGAAATTCTACTCCACTGTTTTCATGTGGAATTATTCTTAAGAAAATTTTCGCTCAATTGATTATCGTGGTACCATCAGGATACGCGTAACATTAGCAGTGGGGAATGCAATCTAATGGAAAGTATTCCCGCTTATAAAAACAAACAGGAAAGCAGTTGCAATGCTGCAATGGTTCCAGAGATGCTCTTTTCTGGCAGACGTAATTCAGGTGGTACTTTCAACTACTGGGATTACACAAAACAGAAAAGTATCTGCTTTGACTTCTCACCTTTTACAAATCATATGATAAACAAGTGAGGTCTCAATAAGGTTTCATAAGCCTTATACGTTTATCCAGGGAAGTAATAGCAAATTCCGTGTAAATGTGGTTATAGAGTTTAACAGCCATCAGTTTGTCCCTGAGGAGTGGTAGCGCACTTGAGACAAGTACTAGGCAAAGCAACGCTGACGGTATCTGCTACCAAGCGTATCAGTATGCAACATTTCGATAACGACGCAACACTAGCTGCCCTGATAAAACCCCGAAAACAATGGAGCTTGTATTCCATGTATTTACATCTTGGTAATGAACTCGGCGATTCAGATATAACGGATATGCACAGACTATTCCAATTGTTCTAATACCCTATACAAGATTTCGCTCACTGTAACTGAGTAGCTTGGTTAAGACGCGGATGTTCGAATACTTGTAGGCTACTACGGATCCCTGAATAAAGTACACCATATATGTTATTTTGAATTCCGTAGCATCCATACCGCTGCAAGTCTGGCAACGGTCACCGACTAACTTACCCAAAGAGAATGAACAAGGGCGGAAAACCTTGCTGCACGTGACCATCGTCAGCGACAGATCACGCAGTGCTGCTTTCAAAAATACTGTCAGCACTTCTTCAGATTTTTTCCTAAACAACTTTGTTCATCTGCTTGGCTTACTGTTCATGCAAATATGCAAGCCGAGGACGCGCGTTGTCTCCGATGGATTCCTGCTTAAAATAGTATCGTACATCTGTACATACAGCACCGAATAGGTTCAGCAACTGCCCTAAGCTGTCAACGAAAAGCGTTCTGGCATTCAGGAACCTGCCAAGAAAACCATCTCATAAGTACGACAGTATCGTTTGACCGGGAAGAAAAATAAAATTGCGCTTTGTTTGACCGTTTTATGCACTACCTCAAAATGCTTGCGGCCCCGGCATAATGAAAATACTCAATTAGACCCCACATGGATATCACTCACTTTGTCTTGCCTTCTTAGTCAATCAAAATTGTTTTCTTTTACTTGAGCGGAGCACACGCCACACGGACCTAGTTTCTGCCGATTGACAACTAACATGCGTCATCGCAGAGGGTACAGTTGAACAGACACTACATTCGATATAAGTGCGTTAAGCATTATAATTCTAAGCTCTTTGGAATTGGCACGCACGCCCATCTCGATCACCATTTAAACCTGACCGCTTAGCTTCCCATGTTTATGGTGAATATCGATGTTTTATGAAAGCTTCCGAATTCCTGTGTAAATTCCTGTGTAAAGTCGTTAGTATATTATGGTTTTGCCAGTTAGTTACTCTACTGTCTAGAACGATCAGGAACTCGATTAATTCTTACTGGTCATTAAGATGTCGCCCTGACCAATACCTTTACCTACCTGCTGCAATTATAGGGGTATTTCAATGTCCATGTACCGTAGTAGCACGCTTACGAGTTTATAATGAGTACATTGAAATTAAATCAACTTTGTGACTTTTTCGCATGATGTAAGTATACTTTGCTACTTCCCACACCATTACGTTTACCTCTAAGACATAAGTTGAGCGAGTATTTTTTCATCATTCATTCAGTTTAGTGATACAATTTTGTTGTGTTCCGGATCTAACGACGAGTACACCCTGGTTCGGCGCCAGATGGACGTAGCCGAATGGAAAATGGAAGCAGCAAATACCAAGCCTCTTATGTATATGCATATAGGGCTCTCTGAAGGGATTCATCAAACCTGGACAGAGGTAAATCTCTTAACACTCCCTTATAGGTACAGTGTTATATCGTACTTAATGTTATCGAGGTTGTATCAGCCCCAGCACAAGAAGTAATTCTGGTGCACAATTTTTCCTAGGTTTATTGCAGAATATCGTCCAACTTCATTGGTCCGAACTTTACGCTTTCTGGTCAGCATCCATCCCTTCACTCTCTGTTCCCAGGGTCTACATGATGCTGCCAACTCACCTTCACCTAATCATGCACTTTTAAAGCATAACTGCTTGCACTAGCAATCCGTCGTCCTCATAAATTCAGCAGTAGCTGATTTGGCACTCGATCATATATGGACATTTACAATTGTATAACCAAGAGGGTAGAGAGCAAGTTCTCATTACCACTTGATTTGCAGTCGTAGCCGTTGCTGTATTTTTAATACTATCAGCTGTTTTAGCTGTGATAAACCATAAATCATTGGGACGCTTCAGTTTCTTATGCGCCGCTATATTTGATGTGGAGACGAGTTGCTCGTACTTATGCGTTAGTACGCATGTCCCGCTTCACTCACGCAGATAACATTTATCCACCTTGGAATCAATTAGGTAAGCAACTAAATTAGCAAATGGTCGCTTCTTCTGTCGTAGCGTAGCTTTTAGTCGGTTGCGAAAACCTGCAACTCGAAGAGGGTCCTTGACACTGAAAATAATCAATTTATGTTACAACTGGAACAAAGAACCGGCGCAGGAGCGTGCGCAGTGAGACAACTTTTCAACTGCTTCAACCTCAACACTACAGGCTTGAGCTCTGGGTAGAACATTTAGAACAGTATTTCAGTGAGTCTTTGAAGCTATCTAGTGAATGTAGGATAGTTTAACAGTGATCCACTTCAGGCACATAACTGAAATGCAATACGCTATCTTGGTGAGATTAAAATATGCCAACGGTAGAGGATGTAGCTCAAAATGTGCGTTTTCAACCGCAACGTTCACATTCAAACGCAGGTATGTTTTTTGCTTGCCATACATGTTTCTGGCCAGGGCCATCGGCTTTATCATGGTCGCGAGAATTGTGATTTGCCAATTAATTCCAAATGAGTTTAGATTCGACAAAACACTGGCCTCTCTGACACGCTTTCAGAACGTGGGACATCCGGATCTGCATTTTTCTACTATCTTATCTATCTATCTATCCATCTATCTTATCTATTTTGTTTGACTAACTATCTAGAGCACTCCCGCAAGCAAGTGGAAAATGCCACGTAACCAAAACCAGGGAGGTAGGAATTTAACCAATTCTTAATATAACGATTAAGTCCAGTTCTTGTACTATAAACCGCATTACACCACCGACAAGAGTTCGATAGTAATGCATACGGAAATGATCATGAGGAGATACGAACAGAGGAAATAGGGTTCTGTTGGTTATTCGGACGCCAGCTTTTCAGCTCATTTTCGGATTGGTTCATGTTCACGGCATTTCCCCACATTTCTGAGCTAACCCAAGGTTTCCATCGTTGATCATTGGAAGCTACCTAGAGGAATAACTAGTGTGGTTACTTCAGAATAGGCTACTCCTTCGGAGATTATTGACATTATTAAGTCTACAAGAGCTCTTAATATATCCTTCACCAACCACAATTATTTTGCAGTGTTCACTTGAGCCGAAGCACAGCTGGTTCAACAGTTTC